AGATTCCCATAGAAGGGGATGCGGATGTTATTCGTGCAGTTCAAACAGCCCAATTAGCTTTGAAACATCGGATGAACAAAAATCAGAGGCAACGCATTGTTTTGTTTGTTGGAAGTCCAGTGGTGAGTTTTGAAAAATGAGTGCCCCTCAAAGTCACAACTTCTATTAAAGGTCGCTTCAGAGAAGCAATTGGAACTCTTAGGGAAAACTTTGAAGAAGAACAATGTATCTTTAGGTCAGTTCAATACGTTTCATTCAAATACCCGTTCATCTTGATCTTGCTGGATGGATGATGGGCTATGTCGCATTGGGTTCAAATACCTCATTTTCAGATATTATCAGTTTTGGTGAAGTTGATCTTAACTCGTCAAAGTTACAAAAACTGCACAATGCAGTCGGTAGCAACACAACTAACAATTTAATTGAGTGCCCTGTTGATGCAAGCAGATTACTTTCTGACATTGTAAGCTTGAAACGCTTGGAGGTCTTTCTTTATTTGCTTTATTCGAATATTCTCCAGCTCATGAGATCGCCAATTGTGCGTGATTCCGAGGCTGATGACTCTGGAGCTGAGCCGTCTGTAATGAATGAACTTGGCGTTGACCCGACAACTGATCCAGAACTCTATATGGCGTTACAAATGTCGCTTCAAGAAGAGCGAAACAGACAAGCAGCCGCTGCAGCTCAACAAGTAAGTTCAAAAAATGATGGAATCAAGCGCTTTTTCGAAAGTCCAAAGGTCTCTCATCAATTTCTAATCTCCTATTCTCATCAGTCTGTTCAACAAGACCAAGCGCCGTCTGCGGAGGGTTCAGAAGTTGCCCCAGTCCCTCCATGTAAGCGACCTTTCACTTCTATGGCATTCCCTTGGTGGTCAAACGTAGTTGGGTGGTGCTTTCTTCATTTTTCTTCTCGGTTTTTTGTCAGCAATCGCAGAAATTGAAGCCATGGAAGGAATCGATGATGAACTTCGTCAAGCCCTCTTGCTCTCAATTAACGATTTCTCAGAACCACAGCAAGAAGCCGCTCCGTAAGATGAAAAACCAATTAAACTTTCTTAATTTTTTAATTAATTTTATTTTTTTGCAGAGATCACGATCTTAATCTAATTTCAAGCGAATCTGTTGAAGTTGCGGCAGGCGATGATCTCGGAATCATTCCGCCGAATGAGGCTGTCATTCCTGTCGGTTCGGACGCCGCACGTGAGGCGACGGGACAAGAAATTGCGAGTCAAAATGCGGAATCGTCGGAAGTTCCCTCAATCCAGCAAATTCTTGGGACACTCCCCGGAATCGACATGACAGATCCCCGCTTGCTCGAAGCCTTGCAGCAAGTTGTTGGTGCGAAACCAGAACCTAAAAAAGACGACGAAAAGAAAGATGGAAGCAATCAATAAGCTTTCAAATAGAGCGTGTAGAATGGAAAGGAAGATTTGATGTTTGGATTTGATGTTAGGAAAGGCTTGATGTTTTGGGGGACACTTCTTCCCAATTCTCAAACACTAAGTGTTCTTGTGAATTGCAATGAAAGAAGCAACATCTCGTGCAAATAAGCAACAAAACGTTTGAAAATGGAACACCAATTCTCAAAATCGAGCATCTATTCACAAGAAGAGGTTTCGGTGCCCCACTTCACTACGACGCGTATTTGCTGGTCCATTCTTTGGCCGTCTGATTGTATCTCTCTAAATCTGTTTTGTAAATATTTGCAATTTCTGGAACGAGAGGGTCATCGGGATTTGGATCAGTCAAGAGCGAGGAAATTGAGAGCAGAACTTTGCTGATAGTCAGTGCGGGGCTCCACTGATCCTTGAGGATATCCAAACAAATTGCTCCTCCAGTGTTAATATTGCAGTGATAGATCTTCGTTGTGAAATTGACTTTGGGAGGTTTGAAGGGGTAGTCACTCGGGAAATGAATATTTAAGAAGAAAATCCCTCCTTGGTAAGGGCTGTGTAGAGAAAGGGAAGGAATATTTGTGTGGGGGAGAGAAACATGGCTGAGCAACTAAGAGGCTGAGCAACAAATAGGATCAAGGTGCAGATTTGACTGGACCATCAATGGTTTGTTCAAATACAAGTGATAAGTTGAATACGGATGCCAGCAGAGGAGAAAAACGTGGAGTCTACTCACCTGTCTTCAGGTCCCATAATGGTTGCTTGCCAGTGAAATAGATCATCACCAACGGGCCCAGCTGAGCAATTCGCCGGGGGGTCTCGGTTGAGATCTGCGAGTTCCTGATTAAAAGAATTTTATAACAAATTGAATGAATGAATTGTACCTTGCTGATGCGTTTCAAGGCCATTAGTGAATTCTAGCCAAAGATCGTAATCTCAAAAAAAGAAGAATTTAATCACGCAACAACGCCTGCAAAAACAAAGAAAAAATTCCTAGTGAATTTTGAGTTAAAGTGGCGCCCAATTGATGAGCAAGTGGATAACTGACCGTCCTAATATGATCAGGGGACTGGGAATTGATGGGAGGTGGCAGACCTCTAAAAGTACCTCAAGGAAGATAAATTGATTCTGATGTGGAGATTTGCCACTGAATATCAATCACTCCAACTCATCTATTGTTCCTATTCACCAAATCAGAACATGCAATTTCCCAAGCACAGAGTTTTTCAACAGTCAAGAAGAATTGATTACACGAGGGCCAAAATAATACGAATGAATATTTGATTGGTAATTTGTTAGAACACTTTTTTTCAGGGTAGGGGGTCTTAGTCAGTTCTGAAGATTTTCTGTTTGTTCATTTCCTTCTCAGCGGCCCCAATTCAAATCAAACAAAAAATACGGTTGGTGCGGTGGGGCGGCCCACAACAAGCCAGGCCAGTGACAGACATCTCGGTGGGACCACATTTCTACAGGAAACCAACTATATTTGGTGCATTAATTTCCGTGACCTGGTTTGACTGCATGCATTCTGCTAGAGGGGCGAAAAACCTGAGCGGCAAGGATTTCTTTTGAGAAGATTCAATGTCTGATCTCTCGAGCGATGCGCGGCCTCATTCTCGTGATTACAGGAGCGGCAACGCCCAAGTACAACAATTATTTGCACGATTAACACAGGAGATAGAGGAGAAGAACCCCGCTAACGTTATTTTCTTCATTGTTGACTTCTTGTGCAAACATTATCCGAGAAATCTTGCTGGATTTGCTTCAATATGGAACGGAGGTTTGTGTGTTTGCTCCAAGCGCATTCTGTCTCTTTGCTTCAGATCCTGACTTGGAGCGCGATCGTCTTCAAGTTGTTGAATTTTTCAGATTTCAGAAGCTTCCAACTGAAATCGCCTCTCAGTTTACAAACGCAGGGTTCGACACAGTAGGCGACTTTTCATTCTATCAACCGCTCAATTTGTTCCTTGCAGTTGGAGACCTTGTGCACAATCACACCAGAGGCCTTGGATGATATTGAACGATTCAATCAGGCACGATGGTTGCCTGGACACCGAGTTAGATTGCAGCAAACATTTACGGATGTCTGTTCCAGAGTTCGCGCCTTCCGCCAGGTGAGAAGAAGAACGTCCTGATTTTAGGAATAATTCTGGAATAGTCTACCACAACCTCATACTTCTTGGCTTAGTAGCGCCTTGTTCAAATCGTTTATTATTTCAGGAACGCGAAAAACTTCTACATATTGCTCGTCTCACAAGCGGACATTGCGATCATCCGACAGTCATGACTCGAACAAACGCCCCACATCTAGTGAGTTAGGAATCCCAGATCCCATTTATATGCGGAACTCCTTTCCCTCCACTTCCAACCCTGTCCTTCTTCAGCCATTCCCAGCTTCAACAGTAGGACCAAACCCACTTCCAAACATCAGAGCCCTCGCGGTAAGCAATTGTTCTTGTTTAAATAATCAAGTCATATTCCTGTTTCTCCAGCCTACCCCGCATATACAAACACTGACTCCACCCGCAATGTCGGGTGTTACTTTGGGGAGTCCTACTTCTCGTCCTTTCATCGTCACATCAATGGGAAATTAACACCTCGAGATTTTCGTGGCAAATGCTCATTCGTCGTTTTTGTTTCCATTTTCCTAGTTATCGATATCAACAACTCCCCCCCTTGTTTGAACTTCATGTTTGGTCGCCGCTTTTGGTTCTGCCGTCACCCAGACCTTTTCTCGAAAACAAAAATCTCCAAAAAAAAAAACTCCTCTATTGATGTTTCATTTATCAAATATGTTTCTGATCTCATAAAAACTCTCTATGCGCCCAACGAGTATTTCTGTTGTTAATTCTGGTCGGAATGAATTAATGGATCCAAATGCTCATGCGATGAGGACGAGACAGGTCGCGCAGGATATGATGGAGGATCCTAACCAGGAGGTGGAGGATCCCAAGCAAGAGGTGGAGGATCCTAACCAGGAATTATGCGACGAGAGCGATGACAACGCCAGTCTTCTCCATCGTATCAGAGAGGGAGGACCGTTTTTTCACTGGCTCGAAAAAGACGATACGAATGAAGATTTGGAAAGCAGCGTAAAGAATTGGGAATGGAACGAAGAAGAATGGGGAATCAAAAAAAACGAAGAAAACAAACATGCTCCTGTTCTGAAACGAATTTCCGTCCGAGATTTTCATGAAATGTCTCAAGAATCACTTGTTTGTCCGCTTCCTCTCGTTAAAGCTCTCTGGGAACAAAAATCTCTATTGGACTCCCTTTTTGATTCTGATAAGGGTAAGAGGTGTGAGACTCTATGAGTAGGAGGACGTCATCAATTCCAGTTCGTTGATGATGGTCGTGAGCGTGATGGGTTGGGTTGTAAGGTATTCAGAGGGGATGCCCAGCATCCAGACTGTGACGACCGGCAGACAGAGTGTCCATTCTACGCAAGTCTCTTATTTTTTTCTTTAGGGTCGCTCTATAGATTAGGGAGGGAAGTTGTTTTTCCTCTTCCTCAAAATAAACAACGATCGTCATCGAGATCTGGATTCAAATTACAAGAAGTTCGTCATGAATTGTGTATATTGGAATATTTGATTGTTTTTCGCACGACGATTTGAAGCGATGATTGAATTCTAAATTCTCTGCAGGTTACATCCAAGTGTCCGGAACTTCTTGATCCAATAACAAAGTGCGATGATGGCTCATCCAATTTCCTGATCATTGACATTCTTGGTTCGAAGAATTATTGGACAGATTTTTTATTCAGTGAAGTTCGGAATTTCGAAACACAAAATGGTCTTGCGTTGGATGAACGGACTTTCGTCTCAGTTGGATTGTCAAGCAAATTCCCCTGCCATTCTTCGTTGCCCGCATTCTTGACTTCCTCCCTTCAAGCAAAAAAGAGATTTTCTTATACAAGTGAGTGGCATCGCTTTGAACAATCGTTACTCTGTCTGGCAGCAATTCAGGGAATAGCGTCAGATCACCAAGCGCTCGAACCAAATGTGATCAAAGCCGCAGTTGAAGAAATTACATCAGTGACACGAAAATCCGAAAACCAGGAAGAAACATGGAGTAAGGCCGAGTCGTTGTTCTTGAGAGGTCTCGACAGGCGCCCTGAGAGCCATCCATGCCGTTAGAAGATGTGTTGGATCCTGATAGCAGAATGTTATGAACAGTTGGAGCTCATTAGAATATGTTGGATCTCGAGTCCGCTTGACCGAGCAGTCAATTCCATCTTATACTCTTGTCTGTTCTGTTGTTCTTAGCTGTTGGAATCGTCACTGGAGACGGTGGAGTTAAGATAGGTACCCATTAAAGAATAACAAGAAGCCCCATAAAAGGACTTCTTGCTTCTTAAGGACAATTTTTATATCTTTGGGAAAGATAATTTTTTGTCTTTTGGTTTGTAGGAAGGGATCCCGCAACTGGAGAACATTTGGAAAATTATCAAGAGATGTTCACATGTCGGACAATCTTATCAGAAGTTGTCCTTGCTCTTGATGTTCTTGATCTCAACGGAAATTTCGTCATCAAGATTTTCGATAGTTTTACGATGTTTATGGTAATCGCGAATACTTATGAGTTAGAGATCAAGATAGACGCGAATTCATAGAATCAAGAAATAGAATCAAGAAAGAGCTGTCAACCTTTATCTTGCATTATTTCAGGTCAGCTTGATTTGGTCGCTATCTCGCCTGTTTGAACGAGTTGCAGTTGTCAAGCCTTATCGAAGTCGACCAGTGAATTCAGAAAGGTACGCGACGGACAGTTGACATGATTGTAGCGATAAGTTCCGTTTCTCTTATTCTTCTTTGATGACTTTGACGTCTTCTCATTCCTACGTCTTCTTTATTCTCTTCCCTTCTTCAGATATCTCGTATGTATTCGACGTTTGGATCATCCTCTCGCTCTTGCAGTCCAATCCAATCTCCGTCAAGTGTTTCAAACATGGAGCGCATCTTCCGATCCTGAGAGTTTTTTACCGCAAACTCTCGTACCAAAGAGCCGCGTACTTGCAGATTCGCGATTCATGATCAGCCTGCAAGACGCTACACAACAACTGTGCAAACGTCAAGTCCTTTCCCTCCGTGTAGTTTATGATCAGGTGAGAAATCCTCTTTAAAATCAAGCTGTTGGTAAACTCGAGGCCCAACAAAAAATAGAAAACATTAATAATGTAACCAACCGAGATTGTTTTGCAGGTATTGCAGCTTCAGTCAAGCTGTCATAACAACGCTATTCGTCGAGGAGGCCGCTATAGTCGACGACGCATACGTGATTGTCCCCCGCCTGGAAGCTTTCCGTTCTATCCAGACGGTTCTTCACCAAGACAACGACATCATGAAGATCATGCGGTTGAGGAAAGCAGGATCTACCAACAGAGCGGCCCACCAAGCCAACATGTGCCTCCACACTTCACACAAGGAGGCCAAAATAATCGAGACAGAAGAGTCCCGAGAATCCCAGTGGATTGGGACATGCCTCCTCGACTTCAGCCACCTAACGCGCGCAAATTTCCCAACGCCCGCCCGCAACAAAAGCATTCCGGTTCGATTTTTAATGAAAGGAATCTGACTGACCAAGAAGGCCGATTATCGCCTATGAATAACAAGACCATGATGAGTTCTCATGAGTCTCAAGAGACAAACAGCGACTTGAAAGAATTGAGTCATTTGTTGTCTTTAATCGGTGTCGCAAATATCAACATCGATACGTCTCGTGCTCAAAAATGTGGGGTCGACGATCGGATGTCGTTTTTTCAACAGCCTGTTCTGTCCTCCAAACATTCTGTCCGTCAAGCTTACGATCTATTTCCCACGAGCAATGGAGCACCAAGCACAACTGGCCACTACTACAACAACAATAACATGCCTGACAACCAACGGGAGATGGATCATCCGCCAGG